AGCGCAGTGTCGGGGCACTGAGGACACCCGCAGTTATCGGGCCCGATCGGCGCGGCGTCGACCAGGCCATTAGCTCAGCGGGCCGCGGCGAGCCCCAGTACCGAGACTGCACGCTGGGGACCAGCGCCGAGACTGCACGGTAAGAACCGATCCCAGCGGACTGCAGGCTGGGAACGTCCCGACCCGGCGCGCTCAGCTCGGACTGGGGCAGCCGGGACCAGCGGCGCCGGGCTACACCTCCCGACCGGCGCCCGGCTACACCTCCCGACCAGCGGCACTGCGTCGTGATATGACACTGGCCGGCCGCCGCGCCGGTGAGCCCGACTGGGTAATGCTCCTCAATCTGCAGCCCACACCTGACGTGCCGTTCTCCAGCATCGTGTGCCGCACGCGACGCACGCCATCCCCACTGAATCTGAGACCACCCATTGCAAAGTGGCCCGGCCCTGGTTTCAGATAGGTACACACCTACAGTCCACTACAGAGCAAGTCGTTAGCCCCCTGCTACGACGTAAGTTTACCGTGCCTCACAGAGCAGGGAAATGCAAGGGGCGTCCCTGCATGCAATTCAGCAGTTCAGCCGCCCGGTCTGTCCCCAGCACTGTCCCCAGTGCAGCAGTGGGGCGCCCCCTGTCACCAGCGCAGCGTCGGGCGGCGGGCGCCGTGCTGATTTATAGCTGGTTCCGTCGCGCCTCTGCTCAACATCCATCCGCGCCGCTTCTTTGGCCCAGGCGCGGATACAAGGGGGGGGGCCATGGGGGCCATGGCCCCCCCCCCTTGGTCGATTTTTTTTTCAAAAATAAAATAAAAAGTTAAAAAGCTGAAAAGGGGGCCTCCTGAAAATAAAGTGGCTATTCATGTTGAGATGTTGCCTGAACAGCTAGATAAGCTCAATAGACGCAGTTTTTTTTTGGGGGGGGGGCCAACAAGTGGGAAGATGGGGCCTCCAACAGGTGGGATTATGGGGGCCTCCTGGTTTCTAATGGCCCCTCCCTTGGAGATTTTCTGGATCCGCCCCTGCTTTGGCCTGATGATCTGCTCCTGCGGAGTGGTGTGCACCATCGGCCTGAGCCAGCTGTGGCCTGTGAGCGGCGAGCTGCGAGCTGCGAGCTGTGAGCTGAGAGCTGTGAGCTGTGGCCTGTGAGCTGTGAGCTGTTCAGTATCAGAACCCTCTGTGCAGTGTCCTGTGGCCTGTGCAGTGTCAAACCCGGTGTGAGCTGTGAGCTGTGAGCTGTGCGGTGTCGCCCCGGTCAGTGCTGCGGAATTGAGCGATAAACTGGTCAGTGGTCGCCCACCAGCCGCCGTGCCCGCTGACGGTGATCGCAGCAGGCTGCGGCGGCGTCGCGCGGTGCCCTGATTGGTCAGCCAGCGGGAGCGGCGGCCGCTGATTGGTGGGCGGGGCGGCACGACGGCTCACAGATGGTATCAGCAGCGCGGAGAATACCAGACAAATCGAAAAGCACCCGGCGGCACGCCCACATCGAATTCGTCTCCAGTTCGACATACTGCAGTTTAATAAGATTTATGGGAGGATCATCAACATAATTCAGATTTTAAAAGCTTCCCTAGCAAGGCCATAGTCGTCCAGTTTATGCTCAACCATTGCACACCGGCGCCGCACTGCTGGGGCCTGCCGCGGTTGGTTGGTTCAGGTTCGCGTCCATCAACTCAAAGCCGGACCACTGCCATTGTAAATAGCGACACGGAGAGCATCAGTCCAGGATCACAGCAAGCCCGGCCGGCCCGATTAACGCCGGCGAAACGTAAATGATCGCTGATCAAAAGGACCGCCTCACATACACTACCCGTGCATTGTTTCTCACGCTTAATATTGAGATAACCTTATCCCAGCGGCAAATGAGCATATTCCTATGCAAAAACCCGCCGGTGCATAATTTGATGGCAGCTTATTGGCCGGAGCCGTGCCGAGCGGCGCGGCGGTTCGGTGGGCAGCTGCGGGAGCGCCCGGCCGGTCGGGCGGCCGGGCGATAGGTATCCGACTGGAGCCGGCCGGGCGCCGGACCGGTAGGTAGTAGGTACAGGTCTCGCGGGTTTTAGCGGTAGGTTTTGCACCTAGAAAATTTAGCGTACTTCAGGCTATATCTTCGTCGTCTTAAGCTTTTAAGTGTTGAAGATGCGATCGACTTGTTGGGTAACAAGCCGGCCATGATCGTGTAAAATGGCTTCATCGTGGATCGATTAGTTTCTGAGATATAGCCGGAAATGTAAAAGTGCAAAACCTACCACTTAACCCTCGCCCGCACATGGGGGGGGGGGTTGCCACCCCCCCCCCCCCAGGCAGTCTTTCTGCTCTGCACTCAACATTTTTGGAGCTAGAAGGCTGATTTTTCGTATAGCTGCTCGTCTATCCTTTCTTGATATCCACTGAAAATTTCAAGTTGCTGTGATTTTTGGTTTCGGAGATATGACCTTGTTTTTCAGGTCATGTCATGACCCAAATGGCCAATTCTCAACATCTTGCGTTTGCCATGGGCCTTGTGAGCTTTTGACACCCTGATTTCGGCCTTTTTTGCCAGTCTTACCTCCCACCTATCATGGAACATGTTGTTCGACGATGTACAGGGGTCAAGGTCAGGGTCAAGGTCAACCTAGGTCATCTAAGATAATTGCGTTTTAGGCAAGCTGAATTTACTTTTTGTGAAGTTTTTTGACTGCATTTTTGGTAAAAGCTTCTCAGATCATGATTTCATGTGATATGGACCCAAAAACAATCGGTGCACACATCAGTATACACACAGACACACACAGACATACAAACACATATAATTGACCTTGACCTAACTTGACCTGAAATGACCTCAGCAGCAAAATTCTGGTCGGATAGTGTGACAAAGAGGTTCTAGCTGGCTTGGCACCAGAAAACAGCATCGTCATCGGTATTTGATAAGCAGCGCACTTGATATCCAACGGTGACCCAAAACAGCAACATTTTTTAGTTTGACCTGACCTGGAAGGTCAATGACTGACCTGAGCAGGTAAAACTGGGTATCATTGGATTTGTCTCTTCCCAAAGAATCTTTTTGGTCTTTACTGCTAAGCTCTATCTCCAACAGGAACGAAATGGCGCGGGGGGGTGGCAACCCCCCCCCCCCCCATGTGCGTTCTAGGATGGGAAAATGGCATGTGCGGGCGAGGGTTAATCTCGCGAGACCTGTACATACATACCTCTATACCGCCGGAGTATATCAGGCTCAGTGGCCGGAACACATCGGAGTCGATACAACAAATCACTGAATCCGCTGTGTCTCAGTGGTAATTGTGCGACCTGTCGATCGATTTTGCTGTGCTCGTGGCCCGCTGCTGAACGGCAGGCACATAGGCAGCCGCCGCTGGCGCTGATATAGAGCTGTACGGTACCGGACCACCAGACTGATACAGATGTACGGTACCGGACCACCAGACTGATACAGCTGTACGGTACCGGACCGACCAGACTGATAGAGCTGTACGGTACCGGACCGACCAGACTGATAGAGCTGTACGGTACAGGACCGACCGACGGCGGGGGGCTAATCAAATCGGCCGTCGATTACTGCGCGCGCGGGCGGTGGAGGCCGTGGGTACCTACTCAGCGGCGCGGGCGGTCGCGGCCGGGCCGGGCGGCCGGGCGTGCCGTGGGCCGGGGCTCACAGCTGTGGCGGCCGGGCGTGCACCGTGGGCCGGGGCTCACAGCTGTGCTCCATACTTCAGCCCCATCGTATTGCCGTTCCAACTACTGTATAAATGATATAAGTAACAGGAACCGTATAAAACGGATAAGTTTATGCTTTTATCTGGTATTACATTTTCGTTAGTTTTAACACGCGCAGTGGAAGGGGGGCGGATTTCGCCCACCCCTCCTGTTTTTCGCCAATAACTCGCGCCGCAAGCATAATATCAATGTGAAATTTCGGCTACCTGTCCAGAATTGAATTGCGGATCTTCTCGTGCAAGAAGTAAGAAAATCGGTTCACAACTTTTCTAGTAATAGCGGTGTAAAGTCAAACATCCTGCCGCCGCGGCGGCGCGGCGGCGCGGCGGCCGGCGCTAGCCGTTACGCGCCGCCTGAATTGTAGACTGTGCCGGGGCGGGACGGTTCCGTCTTTACATCGCGCTCCTTACCGCTGATTATATTAGATTCGCGTCAAATTCGGCGAGAAGACTGAGAAATGTACAGGCAATCATATGGTCAAAGAATTTTGAGAATCTGCCGGTAACAACTTGACAGACTTGTGATCAGCTCAGTTGAGCCGGCTCAAAAATCAGCTCAGCTCATGAGCCGGCTCAACATTTTGCCAAATTGATGAGCTGTGAGCTGAGCCGGCTCAGTAATGCATTGAGCTGAGCTGCTGTCTGAGCTGAGCTGAATGAGCTTGAGCTGAGCTGAATGAGCTTGAGCTGAGCTGAGCTGAGCTGAGCTGATTGAGCTGAGCTGAGCTGATTGAGCTGAGCTGGCTGAGCTGAGCTGAGCTGTTTGAGCTGAGCTGAGCTGAGCTGTTTGAGCTGAGCTGAGCTGAGCTGATTGAGCTGAGCTGAGCTGAGCTAATTGAGCTGATTGAGCTGAGCTGAGCTGAGCTGAGCGAGCTGAGCTGAGCGAGTTGAGCTGAGCGAGCTGAGCTGAGCTGATTGAGCTGGGCTGATTTAGCTGAGCTGAGCTGATCCAGTTCTAGGTACACTGGAAGATGATGAGAACGGATAATAGGTACTCACGCAAGATACGATGAATAGAGCTAGCAATTAAGCCCAAAAAAGATATCGAAAATAATACAAAACACTTCTTTTGAAGGAGATGAATTGAATGGATTTGGAGCCTCACAAAATGTTTCAGATATGACGCGTCTCACAAACTGACGCATAAAGACTGTGTTCAAAAGCGTGATCGCGAGCACTTAATGACGAATGAAAAGCCTAGGTATTGCCCGGTCGCCATAGCAACTGGTAAGCGTCACAAATTTCGAACACTATCCGAGCTTGGTTGATATTTTCTTTGGCGCACGTGCGCGGCGTGCGCGGCGCACCACGTGGTGTTGGCGTCAAAATTGATATCTATCATGGATAATTTAGTTTGTTGGTTTTATTTCTACTGATTCTCTTTACTTTTCATTATGTCTTCTCGTGCTCCGTGTTCTGCTGCCCTGACTCTTTTCGAACACCTTGACAACTTCAAGTACAAATGCAAGATCTGCCACAAAGTTGTCATCGTCTCAGCTTCTTCCAAGACCAACTTGAATCGCCACGCAAAGGTAAGCTGTATTTTTGTCATGCGAATTTTTACTGTTTCTTGTTGATATTTTCTTTATTACCTCACCTGTGATTTGTGATACACCATTCACTCAATGTTCAGGGAATATTCCCTGAATATTACCTGGCATTTGGAGAAATACGGCAGCTGATAGTGTTGATCCTGAGTGTGTTGTGAGCAAGGCCATCTATAGAAGGTACAGCCCTCTGCAAACTGCGTGGTAGGTATTCTTTTCCCCACAAAACTGAGGATAACGCGAATGCTATGCTAACGGTCACTCGGAAATGGTAATGGGAAGACACGCGAGGCTCCGCACATTAGATTGGGCTTATTTTGGTATACATTTTTCATCTAGTTTAGCAACAACACACAAAAGTTTACATTTGCCCCCAAAACAAACTTTTGCATTTTGTTGCTACAATAGGCCTAGGACTTTGTTCAGTGACAGAACCAATCGAAGGAGTGAAGCATGGCGCATCTATATGCAATGAGGTCCGACCGACTGATAACAGAGCCTTTGAGTTATTATCGGTTTCGTCGAAAAAAGAATACCTACCATGCAGGCCGCAGTTTGCAGAGGGCTGTACAGTCACTCTACTTTGTCACTGTCACTCTACTTTTGGTTAGGTACCTTATGAGTTATGAGGGGCCTCAGGACAATAATGGTGGTTGATCAGTTGGGGAAACTGTGGTAAAATCTGCCATTTTTCATTTTAGCAGTCTGCTATTTTTAACATAAATCTGTCAAAAATGGGTACGGACCTGCTAAAAATGGGTACGCACGTGACATCATCGTACCTACCCAAATATAGCAGATTTGGGTACGGACCTATAGAAAAACAGATTTGCGCACTACTTGAAGCAAATGCGCATCAAACGCCTGGCAGATTCATGATGAGAATAGTGCTGAGAGTGTCCTCTTCTATTTTCTTTCAGATCCGACTATTTTTTAATAAGATATTGCCATTGGAAGACGAATGCACTGAAATTTCCTAGAAATTGGTCATTGTTTTAGGTATTTTCTGTTTCTTCTCTTAAGAATAGACAGAAAATAATGTTCAAAACAAAATCTAGCAAAAAATACATAAGGTTGAGAATGAGATTCATTACTTGAACAGGCCATCACTAGAACAAACACAATTTGGCATGATTGGTTGACACACATGTTATCAAGGTCATACCATTGAAGGAGTAAATAGCTATGTTGGCATATTTTAGTAGTTAATTTAGCCATTTATGTGGTTTGTTAAGATGACCCTGGCCACAGTGTTTCTTATAATGAGAATTTTGGCACATAGCATTGCCTGGTTTTGTTCAAACAGCAGCTTATACCCTGCTGGGTCTTAGCACGACTTTTCAACCTTAATGGTTAGGATGTCATTTTAGTGGTTTATTAATCCATTTTGGTTAAAAATGTTACCTCCATCTTATTCTCCAGACTTTAAAGTGTATGTAATGACCAGCTATTTTGAATCAAGACAATTCTTTTTGGGAAATGAGTAGGGGTTTGGCACAGCCTAGCAGTCAAACACGTCAGGCTGCAGGCTGGTGGTCAATTATTTACTATTTTTTTTTCACATGTTTTGTTCCTCAACATGACTATTATTTTCAAAAATCAACATCAAATTGCCAAACCTTAAGTTCAAATGAAGTTAGTCATTTTTACGTTGTTAGAAAATGGGAGTACCCCTTGCGAGCATCAGGAATGATGTTACTCAGGATCTGCCTCTGATTGGCTGGTGTGTGAGTGACTATACCATCTATAGTTGGCCTTGGTCGTACCCGTAGGTACCCCTCCCTCCTGGCCGTCCGTGTAATGAAAAATGGCCTGGCCGGGCGAGCGTTAAGGTTGCACTGAATCAGGCTTGTTTTTACTTTCAGAACAAACATTCACAAGATCTGGAAAACGTGGTGAGACTCCGTGGTACCAGCACAACTCCGCTCGAGCGACTGGTCCGCGTCCCCAGTAAATCTAAAGCGGAGCAGACAACGCAGGCGCTGATAAAATTTGTCGCGTCTTCACATTCCCCGCTGGCAGTCGTTGAGAACGCCGAGTTCCGTGCGTTCGTAGCGTCTCTCAATGAGAGGTGGGTAGATGTCATTGTCAGCTGTGTTTGTTTTTATTTTTAGGATTTGTCATCATCATGTCATTTTGTTGAATCATTCTGTTCAAGGCCATATATATTCTGTTCAACAAATGTGCAAGCATGTGGTAGAAATGGTGTTATTTTTTATCAACGCTATGCTATTCAAAACAAAGTTTTAGTTAATGTTAAAAAAAAAATCCGTTTGGACTTTGTGCTCAGTTTTCATAAAAAAATGAATAACGTTATTATAACATATATTCCAATAAGCAGACTGATCATGCTTTAATTGATAATGTCAAGCTTACGATAAAGCATTTATAGTATGTCACAATTTTTGGAACTATTATGACTGATAAAGGCAATTCTCTTTTACTTGCGGTTTACCATCATTTTCAAATATTCACAGCGTTGCATGAAAACTAGTTTGAAATAGCCATCTCCTTGTGAGTGTTGCGTGCACTCTTTCAATATTCCGGTAACCAATAGCACTCCGTTTGGTCTTTGACAGCTACAAGTTGCCATGTCGGAGGACCTTGAGGGCCCTGACCATAAGCAGTGCCGAAGCGGTCAAGAAGGAGCTGAAAGAAACACTCGCCCGACTGCCCCCGGATCAGGCCGTCAGTCTCACCATGGACCTGTGGACAAACAGGCAGCTGCTTTCTTTCCTCGGCATCACGGCTCACTTCGTCAGCGAGAAGCACTGTCTGCGTGCTGATCTTCTTGCTTTCAGGTATTTTTTGTCTTAATTCCCAGACACAAGCAGTCTTTCCGGAAAATTAGAGAGAGCGGGAGTTAGAGTGTGAGAGAGAGAGAGAGAGAGAGAGAGAGAGAGAGAGAGAGAGAGAGAGAGAGAGAGAGAGAGAGAGAGAGAGAGAGAGAGAGAGAGAGAGAGAGTGAGAGAGTGAGGTGAGTGAGTGAGTGAGTGAGTGAGTGAGTGAGGTGAGTGAGTGAGTGAATGAGAGTGAGAGGGAATTTAATTCTGTAAGTTACTTGTAAGTTGTACTGGAAGAAATCCCCTCTCTCTCTCTCTCTCTCTCTCTCTCTCTCTCTCTCTCTCTCTCTCTCTCTCTCTCTCTCTCTCTCTCTCTCTCTCTCTCTCTCTCTCTTTCTTTCTCTCTCTCTCTCTCTCTCTCTCTCTCTCTCTCTCTCTCTCTCTCTCTCTCTCTCTCTCTCTCTCTCCTCTCTCTCTCTCTCTCTCTCTCTCTCGCCATTTGCTTAGCTAATTTGTTAATTTGAATCGTGCTTTTGTACAGTTGTTTTATCGATGGTTCATGTTCAAAAATGCGTCTTTTGCGAAATGCCTGCGATCGATGGGGACGTCCCCTTGTCCTTACTTGTTCCTTGTCCCAAGACATCAGACCTAGCAAGCAGACAGTTTGTGGACTTCCTTGTGTTTGCTGTCGTGATTATTTGTACTGGCCACTGGGGCTGCTAGGTTAGGGAACCTAATTTCTTTGCTAATGCCAGTTGTTTTCTTTCTTCACAGACGCTTCTACGGTGCCCATACGGCGGAAAACATCATATCGGCCTTCGAGGAGGTCACTCAGGAGTTCGGGCTCCGCCATCGCATTGCGGTGGTAGTCACGGACTCGGCGTCGAACATGATCCGGGCCTTCCGCGTGGGTTTCCCAGTGGCCGACGTGGAGGATGAAGACGAGGAGGCCGACAATGACGTGAGTTTTATTAGTAATAGAAGATTCTGAGCGTGCTGTTGTGCAAAGGTGGATTTCAGTGTTAACCCGCGCCCGGCTGGGGGTCCTGGATTTCCACGCCCTGCTGGGGGGGGGGGGGTGTTTGAACACCCCCCCTTCTAACTCGGCTCCTGGGCCACGTAGCGATACGCGGAAGGCGGCGTTCGAAAGAGCGTCAAAAATAATGAGGAAATCACTTTGGTCAATTTTTTGGTCAGGTCAAAGGTCAGGTCACCAAAGGTCATTGAAGGCAAAATTTCGCCGATTTCCAGGTCGAATGTCGACAATTTCCAAGAAGCCAACGCATAACTCGGGAACCAATAGAGCTACATCGCCGCGGAAAAGCGCATTCGATAGCCCTATTAACGCCCTTTTCTGAGTAATTATCTCAGATTTGACCTAACGTCAACGGTTTTGCCTGCAGGGGGCAAAAACTGCAAAAATAGCCGATTTTTTTTCGGAAACAGTTTTTCTGCAAGAACTGTTGATCCAATTCTTGTACGAGCTTACTTTTATCGGCATCGTGTTCCTCTCGTCAAGACGCATCGAATGAACTATAACTTGACCTTGAAAGGTCAACTTGAAAATTTGACCTCAGGTCAAGGTCTTGACCTGACCGGAAAGGGTCATGTTGCATATCAGTCGATCCGTACCTATCGTCGAGCTGAACACATTTAAGGCGTTTTCATCGCTCTAGCATGCTTCTATCAAAAGTTATTTGCGAAAAACTGTTAGATACCATTCGAGACCTAAGATGACCTCAGGGCATAAACAGGGGTCACTGACACCATTTTCATGTTCAGTGTGTCTAAACCACCTGTAATTCAGTGTTTGGGAGTGTTTATAATGTCTTTCGTTCAAAAGAGGCGCATTTCAATTTCCTCCCATTGACTTATAATGGGGAGGTCGCAAAATTGACCTGATCTTAGGTCATCGACATCAAAATTCTGAGATATACATTTTGTACATGCTATTGCTCTTAGCAATCGCTGAAAGTTTCAAAGGGATCGGTCTCTCGGTGTAGCTATGACAGACATTGAAACTTTTTATGAGGTGAGGTCACTTCAAGTGACCTGGTGACCTGACCTTGAATGACCTTGGTCTGAAATTTTCACAACATGTGTAGAATTGATGTATGATAAAGTGTACCAAAAACGGCGGCGTTCCGCGCCGCCGTTTTTTTTTTTTTTTAGATATTCGCGAAAAACCACAAGGGTTCAAACACCCCCCTCCCCAGCAGGGCGCGGGTTAACGAATAACCGCACTGGAGCCGAATGGCTGCGTTGACACTATTACTATTACCTCACACACGCACACGAAGACGCACGCGCAAACAATTGACTGCTATTGAAATTATGGAGATATATTGTTGCACTCCACAGCTTCTTGCACAGCTGCCGCCTGTGAACGCTGTTGTCCTATAATTGGTTAATCCAAGATGTAAGAATTCAAATTTCCTCATTCGTTGGTACACAAAATTATGAGTTGCTCACACGTTCCGATGTGAGATGGCACATATTCATGACAAGTCGTTGCACCCTGACCCGTTTGATTAGTTATGAGACTTATGATGCCTTAATAGCTACTATAGTTCGTTTTTCTAAGTTCGACCCTCACTGTAAACATCTTTTTGAACAAAGCACGAGAAATGCTAGCTGAATTACTTAGAAAACTGGTTAGCGCACATTGTACTGGAGATATGAATAATATTTTCCAAATAAGTTTTTAACACCGATGATATACCCTCCTGTTAAACGCCGTGCGATTTATTGATTAGTTCAATTATAATTTCTGACAAGTCGTCTTTCCCTGTGGGGTTGTATATATGGGCAAATACGAACTGGGAGTCTGGGAAATAAGCGCCAGGAAGAAATAATTTTGAATAAAATTAATGGTCTGTGACATCAATGTGCGCCAGTCAGTTTTCTTAGTAATTCGGCTAGCAATTCTCGTGCTGTGTTCAAAGAGACGATTACAGTGAGGGTCGAACTTAAAAAAAAAAACGAACTATACCAACATCTCGATGCATCAGCCTGCCAAAATGGCACACACAGGTCACATACATACGTACAAACAATTTACGCCGTGAAGAGCAGATTGCTTTTTTTGCATAATAAGAATCTGTGCCACCATAAGAGCACTTAGTATGTTTTAATTTTTTTATCCTTGCAAATGATGGGTGCCACAACGTCAACCGTTGGGCAATTATTTGGTGTAAGAAGTAACCATAGCATTATTTATCCCCGTGCATATTCTTCCAAACTGGCAGGATGATGAACTGGAGGCAACGGACCTCGGCGCTGTCGAAGGCCTGAACATACCAGTGCGGACTGCCTGCGCCGCGCACACCCTACAGCTGGTGGTCAAGGATGGGATACGGGAGTGCGGGCACGGAATCGTCTCCAAGGCGCTAACCAGGTTGAATGCCTTCATTGGCGCAGCACGGAAGTCATCGCGCGCCATGGAGGTAAGATTCAGCGAGATTCCTGCTGTGACCCCTGCTCGTCGTGTTTTAGGTCAAGTTTCGGGAGATAAAAGAAACGAATAAGTAGAGGTGAAAAATAGACGTTTCCTTCTGTGTATCCTCGCGAATTAGTGTCCCTCTGCGGAGTGTTATGGTTAACCCGCGCCCGGGTAGGCCTCTCAGCCAACTTCGCCATGGTGGGTGTGGGGGGGAGGGGGCCTTTTTGGCCACACCAGATTATCTCGGAAAGTAAGCAAGCTAGAAAGACTCGATAAAAAGCAATAGATAGCTCGCTACAAGATATTTCAGACTCGTTTAGGTCATTTTTGATAGGGTTATCGCTGAGTTCACTGGAGGCTACCAAAGGTAAAATTTTCACGAACGTTTGTTCCCGATTTCGACAACTTTTCACAAATCGGCGCATAAGTCGGGAACCAATAGAGCTACAGCGCAGCGGAAAAGCGCATGCGATAGCTCTTTCAAAGGCCTTTCTGAGTATGGTTCTCAGATTTGACATAAGGTCAACGGTTTAGCCTTCAGAGGGCAAAAACTATCAACATTTGACGTTTTTCCAGAAAAAAAGTTTTTGTATCATAAGTTTTTACTCCAAGCTTGTAGGGCGCTGATGTTACCGGCATCGCGTTTGTCTCGTCGAGACGCGTTGATTGAACTATAAGTTGACCCGAAAAGGTCAACTTGAAAGTCACAGAAAAGGCTATGTTGCGTGTCACTCGATTCGTATTGTTGAGCTGAACACATTCATGATGTTTGCAGCGCTATAGCATGCTGCTATCTAAAGCAGTGGCAAAAAACTGTTACCGACGTTTCATGACCTGAGAAGACCTCAGAGGCATAAAAGGGGTCACAGATGCAATTTTCCGGTTTAGTGTGTCATGTTTACCTGTGTTACGAATTACGATACGATGTTTGAGGGTGTCTTCGGCCAGAAGAAAAGCATTTGAATTTTCCCCCATTGACTTATAATAGAGAGGTTACAAAATTGACATCTTAGGTCACTGATATGAAAATTCCGAGATATATGAATTCTTCATACTGATTTCCTCATGCAAAGCCCCAGTTTCAAACTTCTTGGATGTAAATTGTAGGAAGGATAGAATCACAAAGTTTTTAGAGGCATTGTTACTTAACTTGACCTGGTGACTTGACCTTCTGTGACCTGGGGCCAAAATATTCACACACGATGCGAAATAGGTGTATCATATGCTATACAAAGTTTCTAGCCCGCTTTTCCTTACACGCGCAAAAAAACTGGCAAGTGTGGCCACCCCCCCCCCCCCCCCCCACACACACACACACACTCGGACGAAGGTTAAACCCTGGTCGACCGGTTAGGGGATCCGTTCACCGGTCTCCTCACTTAATGTTACCCTTAATCTAATTAGACTGGTTACCTAGTTACCTAATTTTAACCTAATTAGAGCAAATGTTAACCTAATTATAGCAGTTTATAAATAATAAAATGATCCCTTTGGCGTAGGTAAATAGTTGAGAATGCAAACATATGGAAGGTGAAGTTAGTTATACAGGTAATTGGAAAAGTGTCGAGCACATTCCTTGTTTGTAATAGGTCGTATATGCCGGCTGTATGACATATAAGATCATATATCATTTATTTGGGCGTATTACCAAGTAGTTTTGCATGTTGGCGTGTTAAACCAATTTGAATGGCCTTTTCAGTTGCTCAGCCAGGCGAACGCCAGCCTGCAGTCTGCAAACGCAACGAGGTGGAGCTCTCAGCTGCGCGCTGTGAGATCCTACCTGGACCTCTCGCCTGAAGTGTCCCAGCGACTCGAGAGCCTCGACATCCTGAGGGGCAAGGCCCCTCTGGGCGGTGAAAAAACCACCCTGAAGGAGGTGGCGGAGGTGAGAAATGGAATGTGGTCTATGAGCACAGGGATGATCGTCCAGAACAAGCGTTGACATTCACTCCAATATGAAAGCTTGTAAAAAACTGGTTTAATTTGTACGCAGTTTGATTACGTATCTCCGTCCATCAGCACTTTACTTAACCCGCGCCCGTATGTTGGTTGAAACACATCTGTCCGCTCCCGTCATCTTCCCTCAATATCTCATTCTTGGCGTGCGTTCGGGATCCGGAAAATATTATCGTTGGGATATTCTCGGCCGGAAAATTATTGTTGAGCGCCTATCTTCAGCATGTCTCGCTATCGCGATACCGAACGTGATCCCGATAATTCTCGCTGATCCCGGAAAATTCTTCCTGATTATCCGGATGCCGAACGCAATAACACGTCCAATCTTTCAGGGCCCGTGTAGGCATCAATTTTACACATGCTGCCCAAAAAAATCAGGATTGTCCAAAAAGTAACATTATTACAGTATGAATGCCGCTAGGTCGTGATCAAGGTGTTATATCAAGGTGTTATATCAAGTCCAAGGTCAGGCCAAGGCCAAGGTCAGGTCACATGCTGAAGGTCACGATCCTATGGGGCGAAAAGCCACATGGCCCAAGCTTTATAGGTAATATTTGACGTAGAATACGATGGTAATGCTTGTTTTGCAACGTGAGCCTTAGTGTTTAGCGGGAACAAGTTTTTAAGTTGAAGCGTTTAAAAAGTATGGGATGTAACACACTTCGGTCGAAATGTCGCAATTAACCTAAAAAAAAACGAAGATAGCCATCAAAACAACAATGAAATTGGCTTCTCGGTGGCTGCTGTGGCATGTCTTTATCGCTATCATGCGATATTCTACGATTTTCTCAACAAGAATTATTTTCGGCTAGAAAATGATAATTGATGACTTCACTAAAACCTGATATCCCAAAATCAAAACCGATTTTTAGGACTGTTTTCAACGTAAACTTTGTGTTGTTTGAGGTGGCCGCCGTTTTCGAGATACAGCACAGCAAAAAGGGACGTTTAACGCCCCCCCCCCAGAAGTCGCGGGTTAAATGTTACCACCAGGGGCTTGTCCCCAGGCCCTTGGGAATACATTCCGTGGCACTCATGAATTTCACCAACCCTTACTCCATTTCCTGCGTCGCCTCAAGTGCGCTTGAATATGCTTCTTAGCGATCTTACATTTTGCAGGTCCTGGCACCCTTCGAGGTGGCCACGAATGTCCTCCAAGGGGAAAAAGTGGTCACTTCGTCGCACGTGATACCGGTAATAATCGGCCTAAAAACAAGTCTGCTGTCGGGGGAGGAGCTGACGACGGCAGTGCGGAGTCTCCAGCAGAACTTGCTGTCGTCGCTGATACGCAGGTTCACAGACCAGCTGCGGAACCCGTTTTATGTAACGGCGACACTGCTCGACCCGCGGTTTAAGCTGCTGCCGTGGACGGACGAAAGCGACGCTGAGGAGGTATGCTACATCATTTTTGCTCTTTTGTATTAACCTTAGGACTGTGACACCGCGGGTGCATTTTCCCTTCATCTTTTTTTTGCATACGTTTTTGTCTGCTCAAATATTTTGTGTACCGAATATAAGACGCATAGGGTATTTCTTTGCTTTGTCACGATTCTTCACAAATAAGTACCTATGGTACCGACTAGACTGGACTAGACTGTTAGGACAGACTAGGCCCAGTGCAGCGTGCCAACAGTTTACACGCTTGTGCTGTAACTGCTATGGAGTCAGAGGCGCCTTCATGTATTCGCCACATCGAACGTCTTCCATTTAGGGGCATATTTCAGAATGAGCAAAAGGAGTTGCCTAGGCAAAGCTCCACAAATTAGCGAAAATCCGCATTTTCATGTCTTTCGCCGCAACATGGATACCTTCCTATTTATTACAATCGACCAGAGGCGGATCCAGCTCAGAGTTTGGGGGGGGGGGGCAAACCATAACAATTTATCGATTCTTTCCATGCATCGTCCATAGGCGTAATGCTAAAATCATGCCGTTTGGGGGGGGGGCAAATGCCCATTTTGCCCCCCCCCCCCTGGATCCGCCACTGCAATCGACCGTACGTTTGCGTTAATAGGAAGGCGCCTTTTCCCTAGTATTTCGGGGCTCTAACGTGTGCTGAGTTAGCGTGGGGAAGAGTCGGAGCAATGCTGAAGCGCGTTAACACGCGCAGTGGAAGGGTTGCGAGTACTACGCCCAGTGGAAGGGGGGGGGGCGAATGTCGCCCCCCCCCTAAGATCTCAGCTCCCACTGAAGCTAGAAAGACGAAATTTGGAGGGTAGGTGGGGGCACTGGGGAACTGTCGTTTGTGAATTTCATGACCCTTGGTCAATATCTTCAAGGTCATATGAGGTCAAATGTAAAATGTTCAAAACATCATATAAAATCACAGAATAGACATACAGACATGCCGTAAACGCCATTAGACTGCCAATACCATGAACAATCAAATGGCTATCTTCGATTATTGATTATTGTTCCGCATTTTCCAAAATCTTGAACTGAATGTTGGCAATTTCTCGTGACTACTTCACGACCATGATACATGCATTTCTTAAATTGAACTTTTTGAGCCAAACACGTACACATATGATAAAATGAATGTCACCATCGTGTGCTACGCCCCAAATTACCCATAAAACATGTGTCACAGGCTACGAATATCAGTCTTGATTTTCGGGGATATGTGCCTACCCGGTTGACCTGAACTTGACCCTGACCTATGCTTGACTGACCCCTACATGGAGCTGACACTCTTGTAGGCCTTATATGATGGATTGTGCACCGTTTTGACAGAGTTTATGACGAGAGGCGCCCATTGCGAAGTCCTGAAGTCCATGCTACTGAAAGCCCGATTTCAGGTGTTTGACCTGACCTTGACCCGACCTGTGACCTCAAAATTCAACTTTAAAGTACTCATCTGAAGCGTCTCGTCGCGTTCTTTCGTTTGCCGCCTCGTGCGTTTCGCTGCGCCTATTGGTTCTCGAGTTATCGGCTGGGGGCGTTTAACGCCCCCCCCCCCCCAGCAAACCGTGGGTTGCGAAATACCCCAGCAACTGCCGGTCAAACGGTGCATGCACTGATATTCGATGTCTTCCTAACTTCACGACGGCTTATTTTCAGGCTCGCGGCGCGTGCGCCGCTCATCTCAAGGCGGAGGCCGAGCGCCGGCCACCGGTCGGCCCATCGCCCGGGCGTCCTCAGCCCGTCACCATCACGGTGGAGGACGAGGGAGAGGACGAGCCTGAAGCCGTGCCGGGCCCATCAGCTATGGCGGTGGAGGGAGGACGCAGCCCGACTCCCCCGCCTCAGGCCTCCGGGACGGCGGCTGCAGTTGGCGGCGAAAGTTCGTGAGTAATGAGTACATCGTTGTAATCTTATTTTGCTTGCCTATGTACGGGAAAGGGTGTCAGTGTTCTATTTCTATACCGTGTTTTAGCTTGTGCGGTTGGTGAAACTTATTTTTATAAAGCTTGTTTGGAGCCATTATTTGACCAGTTTCCTGGCGGAAATAAGACTGATGATCAATTATCCCGTTGAATTCCACGGTGAACTTAGATTCTAAGATTCGAGGGAGCTTTGGACCCCTTGGACCTCTGCCCGGGTATCACAGTAAATCTCTGTTTTCGTACCTGCAAAGTTCATATCTTGTAGTAATACCGCGGTGTTCTTTTTCAGCTTGTATGCCTACATGCATCGACCGCGGCGTGAAGGCACAGGCCAGAGCCGGGGCGCGGCTGTGGAGGCGGAGCTGGCCCGTTACCTCTCCGAGGAGCCGCAGCCGATGGTCTCTGACCCGCTGAAATACTGGGCTGGCCGGAAGGCGGTCTTCCCACAGCTCGAGGCGGCGGCGAGGACCCACCTCGCCATCACGGCCAGCTCTGGGCCGAGCGAGAGGATTTTCTCTGTTTCGGGGAAACTCTTCTCGCCGGCACGTACCCGGCTGCGAGCCGACATCGTGGAAGGACTAATGCACCTTAAGTGCCAGCCGTGAGCGCACTGAGGTGATTGTCGCTGGTGCTCACTAGTGGTGTCAATTTCAGAAAACGTATGTCCAAAGTCCGTCCAATGTCCAATGCTTACGTCGATTGTCCGTCCAAAAATTTCCAAGCCAGCCATCTGTCCAAAGATGTCCGACACCTACGCAATAATTTACACTCAACACTGTTATTTCATTTGCTTTTCATGTACCGCTGCAAGCTCAAAAGTGTTAATCATATCGAAAGCTGAGCTTTCTAATAGCCAATCAATGTTAAACACGACTACTTTTTAAAAATGTTGAGGTGTAGCAAGCGATTGTCCAAAGTTGTCCAATGTCCAAAGCCTGCGGCCATTGTCCAACCGAATTCCGAATTGGGCATTGGACAAAATCGGAATTCCGAAGATTCAAGTTCCGATTGACACCACTAGACTGCTCACTGGAGCCAGCTGATAAGACGGGCTCCTCTGCGGGTGAATTTTATGTGATATTTAGCCAAGGACAGCACATGTTTCCATTGATGTTCGTCAAGTGCCATGCCAGTCGTGAGTCCACTGTGATTATTTTCGCGGGTGCGCACTGGAGCCAGCGGATAAGACGGGCTCCTCTGCGCGTGAATTTTATGTGATAGTTACCCATTAACAGAACGTGTTTCCATTGATGTTCGTCAAGACTCAAGTGCCAGTCGTGAGTCAACTGTGATGATTTTCGCGGGTGCGCACTGGAGCCAGCGGATAAGACGGGCTCCTCTGCGCGAGAATTTTATGTGATAGTTACCCATAAACAGAACGTGTTTCCATTGATGTTCGTCAAGACTCAAGTGCCAGTCGTGAGTCCACTGTGATTATTTTCGCGGGTGCGCACTGGAGCCAGCGGATAAGACGGGCTCCTCTGCGCGTGAATTTTATGTGATATTTAGCCAAGGACAGCACATATTTCCATTGATGTTCGTCAAGTGCCATGCCAGTCGTGAGTCAACTGTGATTATTTTCGCGGGTGCGCACTGGAGCCAGCGGATAAGACGGGCTCCTCTGCGCGTGAATTTTATGTGATATTTAGCCAAGGACAGCACATGTTTCCATTGATGCTCGTCATGTGCTAGTCGTGAGTGCACTGCGGTGATTGTCGCGGGTGCACACTGTGATAACATGTGATAACACTGCCGAGAACAGTCCATTTCATGTAGTCTGAGTCCAAGTAGACGCGCGACTCGCAAAGTCTCAAGGTCTTAATGAGCTTATCTCTTTTGCCCATTGTGTAAGTTGCCTCACTCCGTGTTGGAGGAGACTTATGTGCCAAGAGTTTATCTGTTTTTTTAAGCTTGTCCGATTTAAAAAGAACGACTGAACGAGCTAAGCGTGAATTTAACTGAGCGGAAACTGAGCTGAGCTGAATTGAGCGGAAACTGAGCTGAGCTGAACGGGAACTGAGTTGAGCTGAGCTTAGCTGAGCGGAAACTGAGCTGAACTGAGCTGAGCTGAGCGGAAACTGAGCTGAGCTGAGCGGAAACTGAGCTGAGCTGAGCTGAGCGGAAACTGAGCTGAGCTGAGCTGAGCGGAAACTGAGCTGAGCTGAGCTGAGCGGAAACTGAGCTGAGCTGAGCTGAGCTGAGCGTGAGCGGAAACTGAGCTGAGCTGAGCTGAGTGGAAACTGAGCTGAGCTGAGCTGAGCGGAAACTGAGCTGAGCTGAGCTGAGCGGAAACTGAGCTGAGCTGAGCTGAGCGGAAACTGAGCTGAGCTGAGCTGAGCTGAGCGGAAACTGAGCTGAGCTGAGCTGAGCTGAGCGGAAACTGAGCTGAGCTGAGCTGAGCGTGAGCGGAGTGCAGCCGGTTTGAGCGGAACGTGAGCTGAGCTGAGCCGCGTTAAACTGAGCGGGAGCTGAGCGGGAGCGGATAAGACGGAGTTGAGCTGAGCGAGCTCACTTTTTTCTTGAGCTGTCACAAGTCTGCAACTTGAGTTATGAGTGTGTAAACACAAAATTGTGATTGCCGCGTTTCCCGCGTCGGCCGATGCCGCTTCAGCCGGCGACATCTTACCCTTAGCAGGCTTCTAACTGCCACATTTATTGTTGGATTATCTAGAAATTCACCATACATACTCACAAATGTTTGCTCTTTCGTATAGTGAAAGTTTTTAAAAAATCGGCCGGTAACTTTTTGAGTTATCGGCGTGTAAACGCAAAAAGACGCTAATATGGCAGATTTGACCACATTTGACCTCATTTGACCTTGAAGATATTGACCTAGGGTCATGAAATTCACACACAACAGAGTTCCCCATGACCCCCATCTACCCTCCAAATTTCGTCCTTCTAGCTCCAGTGGGAGCTGAGATCTTAGGGGGGGGGGCGACATCCGCCCCCCCCCCCTTCCACTGGGCGTAGTACTCGCAACCCTTCCACTGCGCGTGTTAAGCTGGAGAGGGGGGGGCAGGCATAAGAGACGTTCCGGATTTCACGCTAAGCACGTTTAGTCATATTGTTGCCGATTTTTCACGGTAATAATCCACCTCACACGCTATCCTGCGCAGCACGCGCCGCTGCTCACGCCTAAATGGACAATTTATTCATTAGCCGTATGAATATGTATCGGAAAAGAAGTAAGAGTCTCGGTGGGGACGGCTGAGTCGTGGTGCTGGCGACAACCGCCAGACGAAGTTATCGCCACATATTACAGATATTCAGTTGCTAACCATACCGGAAATGAAACTAAACTGCAAGAAGTAGCCAGGAGCCTGCCGCTAAGCGCGTTGAAGAGGAATGAATGTTCCAATATGGATAATGAAAATGGATGTAAGTTATGACCGTCGTAATGTCTTGATAAGTTTAGCCCTCGCCCTGGCAGGGTATTTTTCATAACACGGCCTGGCAGGGGGGGGGGGTCGATGCGAACCCCCCCCCTCGCGATTGGCTCCTATGGCACCTAGAAACACCAAATTTGGTACGTAGGTGGGCCCCCTGGAGTTCTCGCCCCTGTGCAAATTTGGTTGCTCTAGGTCAATATTTAGGGGGGTTTTGGGGGGTATAAATAAAAATTTCGCTAAAATCAGGGCAAAAGTTTTTCGCTTATAACTTTTGATCTAATTAAGATAGAGCAAAAAGAAAAGCACCAGTGAACTCAGCACGTCAAGGCGCGTCGAATGACATATTTTTCAGCTTGCTTAAGTGTACTTAAAGTTTTTCTTACATTTTAAGTAAACTTAAATTAATAAATTAAGTTCAAGTTAACCAAATTGCATCATATCGCATATCATTCGATTCGGCTGATCACCAGGAACACAATGATACCATTTTTTAAGCTCTAGCGTCATTATGTGCCAAGTTATTGGCAAAAACGTCATTTGACCTCAGTTGACCTCATTTGACCTGACCCATGGATAAGTACACCAAACAAAGAAGCACCAAGTGACCTGCTGTTAAGTACTGTGCTTTCACAGCACAAAAGTGATAGAACGAAGCGGATATCTCCAGTATTTTCCGAATTTAGTATTTTCCCATAGGCTTAACATTATGACGTAATGACCTCTAACTGACCTCAGGGCAGTGACCTCAAAAAAAACCCGAACTATATGTTATACAACTCGGTGAACTTAGCACATCCTGAAAGTTGGAAGGAAATCAGTGCAAAACTGTGAGTTGGACAGGTGCAAAAAGAAAATTGAAATTTGACCATGACCTTGTACCGGTTTTTCTGACCTGGTGACCTGACCCAAGGTCACCCGGACCTGAAATTTTCAGGTCATGTGTGAAAAGGTTGCCCCATAGGCTGTGCCAAATTTGGCGGCGCTGCGCGCCGCCGTTTTTACGCTATCTTCGAAAAACCTTAGGGGGGGTCGCATCGACCCCCCCTGCCAGGGCGAGGGTTAGACTTGGGGTGGACTTCGAGCTGGACTGTGGCCCTGATGGGGTCCCTATGCATCTGCGCCGTATTAGTGTCATCGGCGTCATTTAGTGCAGTTAAGGCAGAGGTCATTGTGACGCACCCAGCAGACACGCCCTGTCACCGGCACAGGACCGCTGTCAGCGACACGGGACCCCTTTCTGCGGCAGAGGGACCCTGACAGCGGAACAGGGACCTGCAGCCAGTGCACATCCGCGTCCGACTATATAGCCGTGCAGAGTTCCATTCATTGCCTCAAAAAGATCGGCTGTCGCGCCGTTGATCTGCACTCTGCAGCCAGTGCAGTGGTGAGCCAAACACCCAGTGGAAACCGGCGCTGCGGCTCCGGCAATCAGCTCCGACCAGTGTCACGCGCGCATTCATCGGACCGGGCCACCGGGCCGGGAGCAGGCCCGCTCTATGCGCCGGTGCAGTGCCGCGGTCACAGCTCGCGAGCTGGGCCGAGCGGGCCGCCTGAGCCCCTACGGCCGACCGAGGCGGCGCTCGCCGAGCCGGTAATTCACCACAGGTCCCGCACAGCCGACCCGGTGTCTGTCACTGATCACTGGTCACTGATCGGGCGCAGTCCAGTGCGCCAGGGTCCGCCGCCGTGCGCCGACCAGCAGCGAGGTTCCTCCACCGATGCCACCCGCTAAAATCCCTGCCCCTGTCGTGTCGCGGGGGTGAGTGGCGTGCCCCTGCGCGGATCCCGGCGTCACGCACGCCCCTGTCGTGCTGCCTGGCCTAGCAGCAACTGCTGCTCTTAGACTGCTGCGCGTCCAACTGCAGCGCGTCCAACTGCTGCTCTGGTGACGTCACCGGGCCCCGAGGCGATACTCCGGCCGTAGGTAACGCCGCCGCAGAGGGCTTTGTTCGACATTAATGTGGGAATTCATGGCGCCGCCCCACCGCCAAATTGGATCTGGATTAAGGTTAAATGCCGATCTGCTGGAGGATACTGGACTTTTGGAGTTAATGCATTTTACACTTCATAACTCTTACTTAGCGATTAAAGTTATTACAAGGCCCCAGTTTTTATGGGCGGAGCTGACATAGCTGTGCACGCAAAGCAGAGCGTTAAATTGTTCACCAGATCATAGACTCAGCACAGGAGTCGGCAGGACTAGGTATGGTTCGCCGGACCGCCTTTAAGTCCGGCGACCTTCCTCCCTCCCGGCGACCTTGCCCTCTCCCGGCGACCTTGTCACGTGACCGAGCGTGGTGACCCCGCGGCGCCCGGCCACTTGGCATGCAGCAGGGCAGAGGCGCCGCGCCGCGCCGCGCCGCCAAGCGCCGCAATGGCCGCGCACCAAGTCAACCGCCAGACAAACGCTGTGATTATCCAAATTATGCAATTACGGCGCTGCAGGCGCGTCGCGAGCCAAAATAGCCGGGCCCGCTACCGCGCCACGTTTGCATTTCAGCGCGCCGGTAGCGCCGGGAGGTCAGATGATTGGGAGGACGGTATGGACGGGGCAGTGGGACCGGGCCTACATGAAAGGCAGGGCCTACAGTACTAGGGAAATATCGTTCAATTCCTGCCCTAAAATATTTATGGTCGATATCCTTCCAAAGTAAAGGTAGATGTATCTGCCTATTTGTTTGTTGAGCCGTTTGCTAGACACGGATGTCGCGATGACAGTCCGTTTGTCCTAATGACTACTCGTTTGTCACAATGACCGATGATATGACTGAATGCCCGTTTGCAGCTACACAGCTCGGTACTGCCTTCTTGCCGCTGGCATACAAATGAACTGGCAGTTTATAAACAGCAGGACGTTTCGCAGAAAAGGCCGGGGAATCGGCTGTGCCGAACCAGCGCCATATTGATCATTTGTCAATTGATTGATTCCGTATGGTGGGCAGTCACTCAGCGTCGGTCACGCAGTCACTCAGTCACTCAGTCACTCAGTCACTCAGCGCCGACCGCCCCACTATCAGTCTCGTCGACACGGCTTATTTGCGGCCGCCGCCGGCTGAGGCGCAACAGACGGAGCCGTCGGGACGGACAGTGACGGTGCCTGGGGGATCCTCTGGGCCGGGGCCGGGGGAGGGGGAACCCACTGGGCCGGGGGACTCACTGGGCCGCTGGCACACCTCAGTGACACCACTCGGAGTCGGGGGAAGGGGTAAGGAGGGGGTAAGGGGGTCCGCCGCACCACGCCACACCTCGGTGACTCCGCTCGCAGCCGGCGCCGCTGTCAGCTGCAGCTCTGAGCAGCGGCGGAACGCTACCGGGCTGCAGCGGACCGACCAGTGACCGCAGACTGCGGCAGGCCAGCGCGGCATATAGCGCGGACCGACCAGTGACTGCGGACTGCGGCAGGCCAGGGCGGCATATAGCGCGGTCAGCGCGGCATATAGCGCGGATCGACCAGAGCGACCGCAGACTGCGGCAGGTCAGCGCGGCATGGCATATAGCGCGGACTGACCAGTGACCGCAGACTGCGGCAGGTCAGCGCGGCATATAGCGTGGAT